CAAATTAAGCAGCCTAATCCAGTCTCGCGAGCACCATTGGTTCCGATGTTAACCGGGGTTCCCAATCACCGAGTGGGGATAGATATTATGGGGCCAGTCACAGCGTCGAGACGTGGTAACCGTTACATACTCGTAATGGTAGATTATTTCACCAAGTGGTGCGAGGCTGTTGCCCTGCAACACCAGGATGCCCTGACGATCGGTCGCACCTTCATTGATACGTGGGTGTCTCGTTTTAGCGCCCCCCTTTATCTACACTCCGATCAAGACACTGCTTTCGAGAGTAACCTCATCGCGCACATCTGTAATACGTTTGCCACTCGGAAAACGCACACGACACCCCACCATCCACAAGGTAATGGGCTGGTGGAACGCACCAACAGAACCATCAAGAATCTTCTCCGTGCCTTCCTGCATAACGCTCCGGAAAACACCTGGGACGACATCCTGCCCCAGTGCTTAATAATAATAATAATTTGCTTTATTCTAAAACAGTACATGTGATACAGAATGGAATTCTCAGCATTTTTACTACAGTATTGCATCCAGTTAGTACATTATCAATAAATAGAATTCTACATAGATTGAGGAAACCACAGTTCATTATTACAAGATTACATTGGCATGTCAGTAGCAAAGGTAAAGCTGAAACAGTGTTTGAAGGTGTTAGAAAAGTGGGAGCTGTCTTATTAACTGGCGTAAGCGAGAGAAAGAAACAAAGCAGCACATAACGGAAAAAGAAGAGAGAGAAAAGAAAAAGAAAGAAAGAAGGAAATGTTGTACCTATAAATGGTATGAGTTGGAAAGACGAGATCCAGTTGTACTACTGACTGTTTAATGAATTATAGGTGTCACGCCTAATGCTTTCTTTATCACACAGAACACGAGCTAAGTAGGGTATGGTTGAGTTTTTGTACTTGCTGGTGCGAGCATATAGTTTTCTATATTGGCTTCTGGTTTTACCTGATGAGATGCAAGGGTAGAGTTGTGAGTGGAGAGGGTGGTGTGAGTTAGATAGAATGGATTTAGCCCATTTTTCACATGAGTCCATGTGCCTGTCAACCAGAATATTAACAAGCTGGTTAAGTGGCACGTTGCTTACCCTGCTGACAACTTTTAACATCCTGCGTAATATGTTATAGTCTTTCTTCAGTAGCCCGGGAAAACTAAGGGGGAACAATAGAGAATAATAGGCAGAATGCGAGAGTTAGCGAATTGTAGGAGTAAGGGTTGGGTTATACCAGAATGTTTTAACTTCTTGATGGAGAAGGTAAGACGGAATATTTTCTTAGAAATTGCTAAGATATGAGACGACCAGGAGAGATCAGCAGATAGAATGACACCTAGGTATTTAATTTCCGATTTAGTTTCTATTTCAGTGCCGTCTATGTTGCATACCTCGTGAGAGCCAAACAGTTTGTTTAGGTCGGATTTATGCCTAAAGGTGAAATTGACTGTTTGGCATTTGGAGGGGTTTAGGGTAAGACCATTTTCCTTGGACCACTGGTTGATTTCTGACAGAAAGCCATTAAGTTTAGAGCAGTCGCTTTGACATTTGATAGGCAAAGATACAGACAGATCATCGTCAGCATATTTGACAAAATTAATGTCATTTGAAGATGGTAAGTTATGTAGAAAGAAAGAAAAGAGAGGTGGGGAGAGTACAGCGCCTTGGGGGACTCCGGCTTCAGTGAGTACGGCAGAGGATGATTTACCTTTGTATACGGTGTACTGCATTCTGTTAGAGAAGTAGGAATGCAACTAGTTAGTGACCCAGGACTCATATTTTGTCAAAGAGAGCTTATTTAGTAGGAGACATCTAGGTACAGAGTCGAAAGCAGAAGTGAAGTCAAGAAACGTGCAGCGGACGTATTTGGCACCTTTATCTAATGATGAGACGATGTTGTTGTGTAAGACAGCTGCAGCGTCTAGTGTACTCCTACCCTGTCTATAGGCAAATTGTTTGGGGTCTTCGAAGTTTTTAAGGGAGGGTTCAAGTTTAAGAAGTATTAGTTTTTCCATAAGCTTTAGAAACGGGGAAGTGATGGCAATGGGTCTGAACTTTACGTTCTTGCCGTTTCCAGGTTTAGGGACAGGGACAATTTTGATGTCTTTCCATGCATCAGGTACGATATTTTTGGAGAAAGAAGCATTAACGATGTTGGTTAGTGGAGAACACAACACATCTGCACATATACATATATATATATAAAGTAGTTTTTTTATCCTTAGAATGATTATCCCAGTATTCAGCTATCGTCTAGTGAGCATTGTGGATGAAATTCCCAATTTGTAATTCACTCAGTTCTGGGTGAAGTTTTACCACAGTTTCCTTTGGAAACCGAAGTTATTCAGTTCACAATATGTGATGCGATTGAAACCATTTCAGCTACATGATAGGTAACATTAGAAGTAGTTAAAGTAGAAGGACAGCGTATAAAAGACTGATTAAGAGCATTAACATCATAAGAGGGAAGAGCATTACAACGCTTACTATTACCAGTAATTTCATTAAAAAGTTTCCACATACTGATTGGAGATTTACATGATAAAAGTGTATCATTATAGATAGCATTAAGATTTTTGATTTCAGATTTGATCTGAGCATTAATCTTTTTGAGTGCTAACTTGTCTTCCGATTTGTATAAAGTTTCTTTTTTCCTGCGAAGTTGTTTGAGATAAGGAGATGAGAAGCGGTCGAGGCGTTTGAATAGTGTTTGTTTGGGACAGCATATATCAAGGCAAAACTTAAGATAATCCGTTATGGAGGATTTCATCATGAGCTGACATCAGTTAGAGAACCACTGGAAAACCTGGGAGTACTGGACAGCTGTTTCGTCCTAGTTTGGGACTCTTCAGCAGTACGCACCCACCGGGATTCGAACCCAGGACCTTCTGGTTACAAGGCGAGCTCGTAGACCATTGAGCCACTGGGACCCGATCCAATGGTCCTTGAATTCTAACTTCTCCCAGGTTTTCCAGTGGTTCTCTAACTGATGTCAGCTCATGATGAAATCCTCCATACAATTAAACAAAATCCCTACCAAACCAATACTTGAAAAATAATCCGTTATATTGACAATTGTGTTATCTAATGAACTTTCATGGAATAAATCCCAGTTAGTATTTTGTAACACGCACCTTAGATTGAGTATGTTTTCGGATGAGTAGCATCTTTGTTGTGCTTTCATAGACAGATGCGAGAAGACTTTAATATGTGTTTTGCTGTATATTTTAGGTACAACACGAACAATAGAGTGATCAGAGTTGAGGATCGGTGCACATTTAAGTGCTTCATAGATTTCTTCGTCATTTGTAAAAACTAAATCAAGTGTTTTGTCTAGTCGAGTGGGAAATTTGACAATGTTAGAGTGACCAAGTGCTACAAGGAAGGAGCAATCTGCTTGTTGGCTTATCGCTCCTCCGTGCATTCCTCAACGGGTTTTTCTCCAGCTATGATGTTGTTCGGGCGTGAACTTCGTCTACCAGTCGAGATCCAGGCGCCAATGCTACCGTATGACAGGATCGACTGCATACCCTATGTACGACATCTTCGTCATCACCTGGAGGTAGCATACGGGCTGGCGCGCCGTCATCTCCACTCCTCTTCAGAGCACCAGAAGAGCATCTACGACCGGTTCGCTCACGGACCCACGTATTCCCTCGGTGATTACGTCTGGCTGTATCGACCGTCAGTTTTCGCTGGTTCGTTCCCAAAATTCTACGCGCCATGGCAAGGGCCATACAAGATCGTTTAACACCGACCCCCGACTACGTACATCCTGCGGAATCTACGACGCCCTCAAGACGCTCTCATCTCCGCCCACTACAGCCAACTGAAACCGCATCATCCCGCCGCCGCCAAGGCGCCGCCGAACCCCTCCCAACCGCCACTAGCTTCGTCGAGGTGCCGTCTGCCGGAGGCACGGCATACCCTATACCACCATCAGGCACCGAGGACAGTGCGCACAGAAGTGGGAGGCAATGTAATAGGACAAAAACCAGTATAATATCACTAAATAAGTTTTTCTTTTCTTCTTTTGCAGAAACCAATGCTAGCATAAACTCATTGGAACAAGAAGAGGACCATTTAGCTGGACTTGTTTTAACAGATGATAACTAACCTGCAACCGCTTAAGTTAAACCTTGCATGCTGATAATATAGACCTTTCGTCGCACTCTGCGTCTTCTTCTTTCTCTGTCTGTGACCCTGTGGAATATCTGTTACAAATGCAACGGCGGTTGAAAGAGTTGCGTGGTGTCTTACGAGGAATAGCATCGTAGTGAATAACACTGTTGAGGATCAAACTCGTAGAGCTTACTGGGAATGGTCTAAGTCTGACATTAGGAATGTTTTAATCAACTCTTATTGGGCTAACACCAATAAAATCAATGGTCAAAACCTATCTCAGACGGCTAGTTACATAATAGACAGATTATGGCTTCTTAGTCAGCAGAATTTCATCATCGCCAAGTCACTTATATTCCCCGGAGTTCTTCAAAGTCGGGAATCAAGTCTCTCTGGAAAGTGGAATAATGAAGGCAGCAATGGTTCTTCGAGTATCAAGACTGTGAATGGAACAATCACTTCACCACAAGAAGATAACAAAAATACAACACGTAACCGTGTCGCCAGCAAACCATTCACTCTTGATAGCTACAAAATGCCATCCCCAGAAACCTTAGATCAAGTAAGTATCCCATAAGTTGTATATGTTCAGAAAGCATCCTCCAAAGAAAGGCGTGTACCGTCATCACGAATCGGAAGAATAACGGGTTTTGGAAGTGAGTTTTAGATTTAATCTTACTGCCAGATCTGGCAATAAGTCTTGGTGTTGGGGCGGCTACCGAGTGGGCCAAACAGAAAGTTGGGTATTCCGGTATGTCTCGGGTTTTTAATGGATAACTTATTCAATATATCCTATAGGCTCTACTCCACCAGGAAAAATATATTTCTAACAGAATCGAATCTTGAGAAGATTGTTGACACATTATGTCGCATGAGAGGAGCTGCTCTTAAGCTTGGGCAGATGTTGAGTATTCAAGGTCAGTCTCATCTTGTTGTATGCCAGTAACCTCCATCAATATATTTTAATTTTAGAAACAGGCATAGGCTGCCAGAATTCGAAACTTTGAAAATTTTAAACTTTTAGCCTTAACTGTTACCAGTCCTCACTATCAATTAAAGACCTCACTTAGTATTTATCTCTTATATGTATATTGGAAAACTAATGTCGTGATCTATTAACCAGTTCATGCCGTTGATATTTACCTTAGTTCAATAGATATTTCACTTTTAGGTCTGTTGTTGACTGAAATACTGGATACCCTTTAACACACCTTTATGAGGAAACGTACTGATAGTGGAAGAGTGAATATATCCATCGATTCTGTGATGTATGCTCATAAAAGCGAGCAGTTGCGGGGTGAGAAAAGCATTCAACGTAGTCGGTTTGAGGTCAACAACCGTTTCGCTTCTCGACACTTGGGCTGCTTTTGACAGGACCATTTTGTCGAAGGCTGTCAGAAAGGTTTCTCTATTATTATTAAAATCATATGAACATCAGATGACATAATTTCTTGGTCTTTTAATGAGTTAGTACCATAAGAGGTTGGCTACCTTCGTTAGGTTAGGGAGTCTCATGAAGCAACTATGCATACCACTATTTGATTGTTCTGAGGGATTAGGAGTGAGTTGAATCGTCTTATGGTAGGATTAGAACAATCATGCTTTCTCTGTTTTGCGTCCGAGCCTCATTTGAGAGACTAATTATTGTGAGTTATAAACCTCTAGGCACTTGGTTTATCAAACTAGATCTGAGATTATTGTGTAAAATGTGCAACTTTTGCCTGGTTTAAAGTAATTTGTTAGTGTGTTCAAAGGCAGATCGTGTATGCACAGTAAATTTATCCACTCAGGTCATATGGAACCTGAGCAGCTAAGTGGTATTCCGAACACTCATATATTGTGTAGTTACACTTGATGTTTAGTTCTATGTTACTTTATCAGCTTTACTTTTAATCCGAGTATTCTTTCATAGATTTTTAAGTAAATTTAGAGTATCTGTTGGTATTAACGCAACAGTTGGCGTACAGGCTCATGTAACTTAAATATCGTATTCAAGAGGTATAGATGGTAATTCTTGTAACAGTAGGTTTTGTTTTGGATTTTCGACCACTGAATCTGTGTTTGCACCTTATATATATAAAGTAGTTTTTTTATCCTTAGAATGGTTATCCCAGTATTCAGCTATCGTCTAGTGAGCATTGTGGATGAAATTCCCAATTTGTAATTCACTCAGTTCTGGGTGAAGTTTTACCACAGTTTCCTTTGGAAACCGAAGTTATTCAGTTCACAATATGTGATGCGATTGAAACCATACATGTTGATCAAGAAGGCAAGCATAAATGCATAATGCTATGTACTGCTGATTGTTCGACATTAGTAGTAGGACACCCTTTACATCAACCAGTAGTGCTTGATAGCCAGAATAAAGTCATCTCGACACTAAACGGCTGTTTCTCTTGCTTGGAGCCGGGATCATCAGTGGTGTACATTGTTTGACTCAGCTTAGACGGCTGAATCAATTGAAACCACCCAAATTCTGGCCAGCAACGTGGCAGAACCAGTTGTACAGTACATGACTTGCATTAGTGAGTTCCGAGTTCGAATTCTACTCAGTCAGCTTCAGTCTTTACGACTGGACAATATCATCAGTCTTCACACAATGTATGACTTCTATCCTAGTGCATAAATGTGTTCCGAGCAGTTGAGTTTCAACTAATTAACTATTTCAGCTAGGCTCACCTGGTTACTCAGCTACTTTATCCTAGTCAAAAGACTTTCTAATTATTTCCGTGTCTTTTGATGATTTCAGTTATTACTGAGTTGGAAATTTAGTTGTCGAATAGACTTAATTCTCGAATGTTTTTCCTGTTGCCTTTAACTAGACGAGAATTTTGTGAGTCCACAGATTCAAAAGATATTTGAACGTGTTAGGCAAGCAGCAGATTTCATGCCAGCTAGACAAATGAAAAGAGTTCTGGCATCAGAACTAGGTGAAGATTGGGTTCAATATGTCAAAGTATTTGAAGAAAATCCATTTGCTGCAGCAAGTATTGGTCAAGTTCATAGAGCTACTCTTCAAGATGACAGGTAAGTCAAATTTTACATTGTCAAAGTATCTTTGTATAGCAGTTTGTAATGTGTGCGCCTTGTAGAAGCGAATGTTTACCCGCCTAGCTAGTTCCCTGTGATGCTAATGGTCAGTTTATCTAAAAACCCTTCATTGGATTATCCAGCTTCTCTTATCATCTTTCAGAGTTGTTAGTAAGTTGTAAACTATGTAGTCGATAAGTTTGTGTATTTTTTGAATACGGTCATATTACTCTCTCCCTGTATTTGTATAGTAAAGAAGACTGATTTGTCATTAGTACAAGCTGTTACACTTCCGAAAATCATATGTTAAGTTATAGTACAGAAATGTGATGATACTTAGGCGAGCGGACGTATGTGACAAATAATAGTTTCATGAAAGCCAATAAAAATACTCCAAATTTCGATGATAAGGAGCGAAAATATCTGCGCTATTCGGAATACTTTTTATCAATGTTAGCAGAAGTTACCAACTGTTGATTCGTTAAATAACAAGGACGCCCATCCAGACTACCTATACCTATGCACATGATTCAGTGTAAACATTTAATGACTTAAAATTTTTTAGTCCCATGTGAACCTCGCATCATTAGTGCATAGGAGTAACAAATTCTGTAAAGAAGCTAATGGAAAGGGGATTAAGAAATTATGTCTGGAAATGTAATCACAAAGTATATCAATTATTTTCAATAAAGAGGTATATTAGATAATAAAGAGTTCACACGGCAAGAATATATATTTTTCTTTCCAATATTAATGCTATCAAGTAAAAATAACTTGTTTTCAACAAAATTTCATCAGTTGGAAGACTTGCAAGGAGGTGAATGATTCCACAGTAGTTTTTATCAGAGACAGAACTGTTGTACTATGATACTGTACTGTTTGTTCTCGTATAATGTTGACCATCTCTGCCAGTCTGGTCTTAAATTTTGTTGCCTATTTAATTCATGTATAATCTTCATCCAGGCATTATTGAAAACAAAACACGTAGATCAGCGAAGAGTCTCTTTTCGGCGGCGAATTCATTTTCTTAGCTGTACAATCGCAAATATATATGTTATTTTGTATGTGTGTGTGCATTAAGTTTGTCAAACGAAAATACAATTGGTTATAGTTATTTTAACTAAACAGGTGAAGATTGGTAATTGGAGATACGTAATACGAAATCAGTCAAGAAAATTAGGTGTTAGTGAAATTAGGGTAGTAAAAAAGGTGATGAGTTGTCACAAACAGTTGTTAAAAGAAGTTATGTAATAATATGAATAGTTTGATAAGTGAGCTTTACTCAGGATGCACATAGGAACAAAGTAGATAATACGAAATTACGTAAGAGTTCTAAATGAATACAAGAATTATAAGCAATTAAAGAACAGGCAAAGAAACTGGAGAACACTTTTCTAAGTGTTGTTGCAATGAATGTTCTTCTCAGAGATGATTTGACCCTTCTCTTGAAAATATCGCTTGCTTGATCTCCTTTGAAATCCAGGTTCTTGTAGAGTTTCTTTTTTGGCGCAATTAAAGTTTCGTTTCTCCGAAGTCTTTGTTTGATGTTTTTGTCGATGAATCTTATTGGGTACCCATTTTGGATGAAAATTTCTCTTAGAATATGTAATTCTGTTTCCAGAGCGTCGGGACTGCAGATGCGGGTGGCAAGTGATTTAATTAAATTTCGCTTTTGTTGAATGGGTACCCATCTATAGAAGCCTGTTAGTTGACCATTCCAAGTAGGTATTGTATGGATCTATCTTCTCAGGCTCCCATCAGTTCTTCTTGTTAGTTCCACATCAAGAAACGGAATTTTTGACTCGTTTTCCATTTCAAAAGTGAATTTTATTGCTGGATGGCAACAGTTAAATGTCTTCAGCAGTAGATTGGTGTCATTGTTGTTGTTACAAATAATGAATATGTCGTCTACGTATCTTTTATACAGTCGCAAATTGTCAATGCTTGGCTTTAGTAGACCTTGCGACGAAAAGAGTTACTGCTTCTTTGTACTAACAATGTTAATATATATATATATATCATGTCGAGAACCCTGTGGAGAAATAAATTGGAAAAAATAATTTTTATAAAAGATATGTAGATGACATAATAGTCATTTGTGATAAACCGACAGACGCCATAAAAATCGTGAACCAAATCAACAGAGTACAGAACAGCATATCGCTAACATACATTAAAGAGAATAATGGTTGCCTGTCATTTTTAGATGTACTCATAACCCACCGAGAAGATGGGTCAGTAAAACGATCTGTCTACAGAAAGTTCACATGGACGGGACAGTATCTAAATTATCATAGTTTCTGTCCACTGCAGTATAGAAAGGCGTTGGTTAAATGTTTGTTCAAGCGCATTCACCGTATATGCACTGCCGATACAATTGAAGAAGAAAGACAATACCTCACTGAGATATTGTTAGATAACGATTACCCACTGAGATTTATTAGGCGTTACGGAAGCGTCAACCATAGAGCTCTACCAATCCAATCAGCTCCCAAAAGGAGATGTTTACATATCCCTGCCGTTCAGAGGTGATTAACAAAGTTTGGTCACTAGATAAAGACTCAAGGCCGCAATTAATAGAACTTATTATGCAGCTAAGCTTATCTTCATAGAGAAAACGAGAACTATGCTGTCCTGTAAACCCTCACATTATCCGAACGATAGTGTAACATCCCAATGTGTTTATCAATTTACATGTATGTGTGGAGACACGTACATAGGGAGGACCCATCGATTTCTGCAGGTTTGGGCTACAGAACACATCCCAAAGTGGCTGCAACAACAAATGAAAACGCCAGACACAATTGACCCCAGAAATAGATGTCCAACATCATCTATAGCGAAGCACATTATAGAGACTGGTCATAAGGTTGATTTCAACAATGCCTTTAAGCCGATATACAAAACAAGGTTGGGCCACATACTTAAATCCAATGAAGCCTTAGCCATAAAGAGACTTAAACCTGTCCTGTGTGTCCAAAAGTTATTTGTTATCACCTTAAACCTGCCTTGGTAATCCAATTTAGAACCAGGGTCCAATTTACTTCAACCCCTTCTTTGCCTTGTTTTTTCTCTTCTCTTTCTTACCCAACCTTTTGCGGCTCCCTACCCATTGTTTGTGACCATTATTTGACCTGTACACAATCTGACTTGCGTTGTAATTATTCATGCCTTCTTACCTTCTATAAAAACTGTGTATGACAAGTACGTGTGTGATCAGAATGTCGGAAATGTGTTGCGCCAATACATTACACGTTTCAGATAATCTACGTCTTCTTATTGTGTTGTTGAAATTCATAAAGTGAAGTTATTGCTTTAAATTACACGAAGTAGTTTTTGGCGTGACGAATTGAACGAGCACACACATTGGCGAGAATCAGACAAGGTTTTGGTTTTCGTCCTGATATCTTCTTGGCAATCATTTCTTCGGGGTGTACGCAGCTTCCCAAATAAGTGAAGTTGCTAACACATTTAGCCATTACATGATATTGTTGAGATAGAAAAGAGTGCAAACTAATTGTGTCGCATCAGCTTACATCTGGCAGAGGCTAACTGCCCCCTGAAAATACTTAGGTTTTTTGACTTGAAACCCATCTGATATCCTGAAGTTAAATTTTTGCAATCTCCACGTAGTCTTCGTGTGAGTATGGAACCTAAGATCTTATAAACTACGTTAGTCCAGCTGATACCTCTGTAGTTATCGCAGCAAATGTTTCTATTTTCTTCGAAAATGGGATGATCAATGGTTATCATCCCTGGAAACTTGTAGAACGGAATCATTAGGTTTTGCTGCTTTACCTCATTTCAGATTAGTGACAGCTCTTGTAACCTCGACAAAAGTTAAAGTTTGATGTCTGCGTCCCATTTGGACTGGAGTTGGACAGTGAAGATTGTGTTTTACATCCGTAGGCTAATTGAATTGTCTTTCAAAGTGCTCTAAATGTTTCTCCTGACAGCTTGTCTATTCTCATCTTTACCTCAAAGCTGGTTTAACTTGCCATAACCGTCTTACAACCCATTATGTTTTTAAGTGTAATTTGTTGATGGGTATCACCTTTTCCATTTCTTTTGCTTTCTTCATCCATCATTCTTCATGGTTTATATTGCTTGGTGTTTGATACTGTTTGACAAATCTTCATTGTTTCCGTTAGCTGAGTACTTTGCATTCACTAGTTTCATACAGCCCAACGTTATACTTATTCCTGTTGGTTTAGAGTTCACTTTCAGTAAGTTCATTACTACCACTGACTTATAAGGGGTTTAACAGCAATTTATTACTAAGTTTATGCATATTAGACGCGCCTTCTAACCATAAATTTCGTATGTGTCTAATAAACTGTATCCTATCATCATACTGTTCCATTTCGGTATTGATTCATCTGACGTGAAATTAGGTGGAGGTGTAGCTGATTGGCTTAAAGACTTGACTTTCAGCCAGTGGATGACAAATTTAAGTCATGCGTTCCATCTACATCAATCGAGGCAACTGGCCCTCAAGTAATATGTGTGGCACATAATCTGAAACACGGAAAATCTGCTTCGGGTAACCAACGTCGCCTTCCTTGACGGGCAATGTTAGCTGACATAGGGTCAGGCCGGAAAAGAAATAGATCATAGTGGGCAAACCAAAACAAGGCTTGATCAGTCAATGAAATCCACAACAGTTAGTTTAAGCCAGCTACGTAAGAGGGTGTAGACTTCATGGTTGGGGTCTTTGGGACGGTAAACACCAATAGAGGCTGGAGACAATTGGTGATGTGGCTCAAAGCCATCGTTCTCAATGGCTGGTGCAGATGCATCCACTCCTTGTGACTTATCCAATAAAACTATATGGTCGTTCCATATTACTATTCTTTTTGTTTCATATCTCTGTTTGCTGTCTCTGTTTTGCGTTTCTTTTCACTTTCTTCTCTGGCTTTGTGTTCTGAGTGGTGTGGCAACTTGAACTGTTGCACATCGGTGCAAAGTTCTATGTTGAAGTTTCGATAGCATTGGTGTTTATTTTTATGGGGTGGGGTTGGTAGCTTCATGCCCAATCTACCCTCTTAACAGGTCCTATGGCGAAGTTCAACAATAGCATCCCAGGAGTTCGGACGCTCCAATGACCTTGTACGCATGCTAGTCGTTGGCTGACGGTATCTGTCATTATCATAGCTGAAATATCAACGCTATTCGCCATCTAAGCAGCAAATTTTATTCAGATCACGTTTTAATTACTGTTTGGACAGTGTGTTAATAGCTCGGTAGGGTTAGGTTTAGGGTTAAGGTAAGTATTGGGGTTAGGGTTGGGATCAGGGTTATAAATAGGATTAGGGTTAGGTTTACGGTTAGGATAAGGGTTGTAATTAGGGTTAGTGTCAAGTTTAGGGTTATGGTCAGGATCAAGGTTGGGTATACGACAAGGGAAAGAAGATTCAGAGTTTATGTGGTTTATTTTAATTTGGTTTCTTGTGCGCATTTTCCTGGTAAGTAGTCGTCGATCCTCTTACTGGAAACCATAGTAATTCAACCGAGGACTTTTGGGGGAAGACTGCACAACAGGATAATCGAGATAAACAATTCACAAAAACAGTCATGTCAGACAAAGATACCCTGTTTAATGTGTTTTCATGCATTTTCTTGTGAATATATACGTCACATTTTGAGCAAAAGTCACTAATTTTTATGAGCGGTCGGCTGAAGGTCACTCGTACGTTCGCATCCCATGGGACGCTATTGTTATTACTAGCTTAGCGAGGTAAAGGAGTGCGTCGGCTGGGGATCGAACTCAGAACCGCATGCGTGGTCGGTGAACATTCTACCGCTGTGACACCGACACAAAAGTACAACTAGAATGAGTGAAACACACTAGAAAAAGTGTAATCTAATTTCGAATGGTCATTTTCAGAGTAGTTTGTTAACTTTTCAAACAATTGAGGTGATACAAAAATAAGAGATAGATCACTAGCTTCCTGGGCATAACATGTTTGGAGAAGAGTTTATGGAGAACGACTAGCTATCCTTTAGAATACCTACCCAGAAGTGAAATGAGTTTTCTATTCATGTAAACAGAATCTCTGGAATGCAGTTGGATATGGTTTCGATTAGTATGAACCCAATTAGAAATAAGCTTTGTTGGTTAAAAGATCCATCCTGTGGAGCCAATTAAACAAAACAATTTAGTTTATCTAATACCCTGCCTGCAATGATTGTCAGGTCAAATACATAGGTCAAAGTAGTAGAATGAAGTCAGTCAGACCAGTGAAGCACAAACACTTAGCAAAATATAGATTAGTTGACCCTAATGAGATAAGAAATCTGAAGGATAGTTCAGCTATAGCACTACATGCAATTACACAACCACACCATAGGATGGGATAAAATGACAGTTTTAAAATCTTATATAACACAGTAGAGGCAGAGATTGATAACGAAGGCTTTATTTACTGAATGAACTGAGAATGTATGTAATAGGAATGATTCAACACCTCTCCACCCAGATATCTGGAAAATTTTACTACCCCTACGACGACAAATAGGAGAGAACAAAGAAAATTATAAAACTCAAGTTTCGAAGTCGTGTGATTATAATTGATGATATGATTATGAAGAATAAATTGTGTTCGAAGTGTCATCTAGTGCGTCGGTGTCATAGCGGTTAGGACACTCGCCGACCATGAATATGGTCCGGGCTTCGATCCGGCCGACACACTCCTGTACCTCGCCAAACCAGTGATAAGACAGGTAAAGAGGGGAGGTTGCGCATGAGGCTAACAACCCCAGCCGTAAAGGTAAACACCACTGCTACCGAAACTTCAAGCCTCTAACTCGAAGCTCTATGTTCCTCTGGGAACTTAAATGAAAAAAAATCACTATGATATATTTAATAAACAAATTAATATGGAATTACATGCTACCATAGTAGTGCCCATGTTTTACACATATATGTTGAATTTTAATTTGATCCTTTGTACAGAGTTGTAGCAATGAAAATACAATATCCTGGCGTGGCTGATAGCATTGATTCAGATGTGAATAATTTAATGACGCTTTTAAATCGTTTCAATATTTTGCCACCTGGTTTATTCGCTGAAAAGGCAATTGAAGTGGCTACAAGAGAATTGAAAGACGAGTGTGATTATCTACGTGAAGCTGAATATGGCAAACGCTTTAGTCGCCTGTTAGCGGATGATCTTGTATTTCAAGTTCCACAGATAATTGATGAATTGACAACAAGTCGTGTTCTAACAGCTGAATATATGAATGGTTTAGTTCTAGATGATTGTATTAGTCTTCCTCAGAATGTCAGGGACTGGGTAAGTGCCAATGTGTTTAAATCAATAAAAGGTTTGAATTTAAGTTTCTTTTGGATGCTTCAGATGTATCACTTGCAATCCTCCACCAGGTCAGGAGTGAGGACAAATCCTCGCCGATGACATTGGTTGGCTGATGTTCGCGCTAAAATCACGGATTCGTAGAAGTTCGAATTCATGGGCCATTGGACTGGGTCCTAGTGGTTGAGTGGTCTACGAACTTGACTTGTAACCGGAAAGTCCTGGGTTCGATCCATAGTAGTGTCTTGGGTGTGTACCGCTGATGTGTCCCAAGCAGGGATGAAAGGGTCGTCCGGTACTCCCTGGTTTTCAGTGGTTCTCCAACTGATGCCAATCTGTGGTCAAACTTCAGACGAATGAAATCTGTTCTTGGAGTGAGTTTGAATTCCATATTTTGGGTGCTTGTCGCATGATGTCTTTCTAACTTTAAAAAGAAGAGATACTACCTTGATGCAGCAACATGAGTAGCCAGTGACAAGTTTCCTATCTTTAATGTTGCGGTAGTTACATTTTCCAAAACTCGGCTGTGTGCAACTGTTGTTAAGATTATATATATATATATTTTCTTATCCGTTGAAAATTGTGGACAGTGAATGGAATCGTTTAATGTATGTGAAATGTGCGTCTCACTTGTGTTCATTTATTTTTTAGATTTTATTATATTCATAAAGTCATGTGATGTGGCCTTGAACTTTACATATCTGTACTTTTTAAAGTTGTTTGTTTATTCTTTTAATGCGAACTGTTTCTTCACTAATGTACCTATATTGAAAACAGTTGACATTTTCTGTAATTACATTTCCACACACAATCTACTCATTCCCTTCCCTACATCTTATTTAAAGGACTTCTTACTTTTATGTTCTAACGATGTCAGGTTCACATTTGAAGGCGATTGTCTCCGTCAGATCGACGGTGCTACTACGGGAAGCCGTTTGGAGACTTTTAGCAGACAACTGTATTTTACACATTGGGACTTTATTTGAAGATTTAGTCCAAGATGTGCCACTATAGAAAATGTGTGTCGATGACGTTGTTATCATAAATGACAAGCCCTGTTCTGCCCCACCACAATTTTAAATCGAATGAATGAAATGAAAAATAGCATATCACTTACGTCTCTCTGTAGAAGAGGCAGATAATTGTTTATCTGTCATATATATACATATATATATTCAAGTATTGGTTTTGTAGGGATTTTGTTTGATTGGATGGAGGATTTCATCATGAGCTGACTGGCCCTATTCAGGCAGTTAACCTGGGGTTCTAGTGGAAAGCCGTGACCAGTAGGGTACAGCAGGTCAGAGATGAGGAAGTAACTCATCGCAGAAGACATTGCGAAATGGTCGCGCTATGTCATGAATTGGCAGAAGTTAGAATTCAAGAACCGGTGGGTGCGTACTGCTGAGGAGTCCCAAACTAAGACGAAACAGCTGTTCATTACTCCCAGGCTTTCCAGTGGTTCTCTAACTGATGTCAGCTCATGATGAAATCCTCCATCCAATATATACATATATATACATATAAATGTATATATCTTATATATATATATATATATAATGATATATTGCTTAGTCGATAGTCCAATCTATTAACAGAAAACCTACCTGGATGGGACACTATCTTAATTAACACAACCTCCTATTAGCTACAAAAAGGGTTTCAGTGCGGTTGCCTCTTTAGTAGGATGCAACGAATATGCATTCAGGATACACTCGATGACGAGGAAAGAAAATCGACACCAACTCTGGCTGATAATAATTATCCAGAGAAGCTCATATAGCGATATCAAGTGGTCAGAACACCAAAACACATTCTTCAACTCGCCCGTTAAGAGGGACGTATATATCAAGCTACCCTATATCAGTGACGGTCACAGCAGGTGGATAACTAGACAAAGATTGAATGCTGCAGTTGAAAGGACATTTTTATGCATAACGAACGCCTCTCTATCCATCTTAGCCCTTAGAACATACGAAAAATGATGTCATACTGCCAGTTGCAATGTACGTGTGGTCAAACACACACACACATATAGGGCGGACTCATCGGTCTCTGTAAGTAAGGGTTGGCTTCAGAGCATATCCCTAAATGGCTTCATAAATAATTCGAATCCCCTGAACCCATTAATGGGGAAACAGACGACCTACTTCTTCCATTGCGAAACATTATGGAGATAGGATATCAAGTTGATATTTACACCTATCTATAAGAAAACGTGTTTGGAGCGTATCCTAAAGTTTTTGGAGACACTAGAGATTTGGAAGTTTAAACCACTTTAATATGTTCAGAAGGAGTTCGTCACCGCATTAAACCTTCTTTAGTAAACCTTGTTCTAATACCAGAGTGGATGTACTTACTATTTAATGTGGCATGATGTAGATTGATAGGAGGCGGCGAAAACTGAAATCAACATATCAAGTCAATGGCTGTTAAAGTGGAATTGTTTATTCTTCAAATTTGGATTTAGTTTACACTTTGAACTTGAAATAACTTCATTGAACAACTTGTTTAACCTTGGACGAATAGCCAGTTAATCAGAAGAATTAATTGTCCACTTGATTTGTTGAATACAAAGTAAGTAAGATAATAAACAAATAACAAATTGTTGCTTTGGAAGCATAAAGGTGGTTCAAAACTTCAAAATTTCTAGGTCTTCCACAAACTTTAGGATACGCTCCAAACACGCTTTACAAATAGGTTAGAAAGAGGTGTAAATGTCAACTTAATATCCTGTCTCCATAATATGTTTCGCAATAGAAGAGGTAGGGTTGTCTGTTTTCACCAATAATTGGTTCGGGGGATTCGATTTATTTATGAAGCCATTTAGGGATATGCTCTGAAAGCAGCCCTTAATTGCAAAGATCGACAAGTCCTCCCTAAGTATGTGTCACCATACGTGCATTTAAATTAACAGATACAATGGGGTGTGACATTATCTTTCGTATGTTCGACGGGCTAATATGTTTGTATAGGCTTCCAATTGTCAATTGTTCTTACCTTAGCTTCATAAAATGTTTTTTTAACCTCAGAGTTCAATGATTGCCGAGTTACCAAGCTGCCATGGTCACCTATATTGGGTGAATTGATATATACGTCTTTCTTTGCGACGAGTTGGGGAATCGGTCTTGATGTTCTCACCACTTTATAAATCTCCGTACAAACTTCTCTGAATAATTATTATCAACCAGAGTTGGTGTCAATTTTCTTTCCTCGTCATCGAGTGTATCCTGAATGCATATTCGTTGCATCCTACTAAAGAGGCACCTCCTCACTAAGACCTTTGTAGAGAACAGGAGCGAAGCTGTGGTATATGAAAATACTGTCCTGTTCAAGTAGGCTTTCTTTAAATATATCAGGCCATCGACTAAGAAATATATCTAGGAAAGATAAACAATTATCATTCTGGCTACTTCAATGTGTATTTATCAATTCAATCACAGCCTTTTCAATAATAAATAGCACAAATGAAACTTGCAGTGAATAATATCACGTCGCCAAACGACCGCTCTTTGTCATCAGCAAAAGTCAAAATGCTTCCCAAACATACAGGAAACTAGTGACGAGTAATTCACAATAAATATCTTCATATAAGAGGCTTTGAAAATGTTTACATGTTCTTTACAAATATATGCGAATCATAAAAAGGTGTGCTAATGCACAAAGTATCAGTAACAGTGTCTCTGTTCAGTAGGTCGACGAATGTGTTCCCCAATAGATGTATCTGAATTTTCCTTTTCTTCATTTCCAGTAGTCAAGTGATCTTCTGTTGCATCATCTGATAATATTACTAATGAATTATGGACTTCACACTCTTACTCGAAAACTTACCTACAATTTGTAGCCCGTTTTTCCAATTACAGTTTTGATTTGATGCTATTTCTCATGAATTATTCAGTTGAAAGCATATCTCGAAAATTACCTATTGCCTTATTTGTACATTTCTTTTTAAATATTTCTCGCAAATTTACCAGTATTCAATCTATTTCTAGATTAACAAATCATATATATTCTATAAGTTCTAATTAGTGTACATTTGTTCATGCCTGTAAAAATGGCTGGTTTCTGTTCCAGAAATAAAAATTATTATTATTATTATTATTAGAGGATATCTAGGATGTCTTTAGTCAACTGGAGGGTTTGTTTCATTGTTTTGACAAATCATTTCAATCCTGAGCAACTTGTTGAAGTATAGAAGTCTCACTCGCGGGCAAGCGTTGCGATAGCTGCTGCCCCTTGTTTTTCGGACTTGGCAGTCAGCGAGTCAAATCGTTCTGTTAGGCGAGTAAGATCTGCGCATCCTCTCCAGCATCGACGCAAAGGTCCGTCACAACGCGACGCTCGTTCCGTGGGGTTAGGGCTCGCCTTCGATGTAAAGATCTGTTATTCGTTGGTGCAGTTGAGAGCAGCGGAACAGCACTGGAGTGATTTGGTTGGGCGCTACCGATGATTTTCTCTCTTCCTCTAGCATCATACGGATGCCCATCATAGTTGGCGTAGAAGAAACGCTTGATGTTTCTATGATGGGCATCCGTATGATGCTAGAGGAAGAGAGAAAATCATCGGTAGCGCCCAACCAAATCACTCCAGTGCTGTTCCGCTGCTCTCAACTGCACCAACGAATAACAGATCTTTGCATCGAAGGCGAGCCCTAACCCCACGGAACGAGCGTCGCGTTGTGACGGACCTTTGCGTCGATGCTGGAGAGGATGCGCAGATCTTACTCGCCTAACAGAACGATTTGACTCGCTGACTGCCAAGTCCGAAAAACAAGGGGCAGCAGCTATCGCAACGCTTGCCCGCGAGTGAGACTTCTATACTTCAACAAGTTGCTCAGGATTGAAATGATTTGTCAAAACAATGAAACAAACCCTCCAGTTGACTAAAGACATCCTAGATATCCTCTATGCAACAGAAGATCACTTGACTACTGGAAATGAAGAAAAGGAAAATTCAGATACATCTATTGGGGAACACATTCGTCGACCTACTGAACAGAGACGCTGTTACTGATTCCCTGTGCATTAGCACACTTCGGACATTTTTTTATGTTTCGCATATATTTGTAAAGAACATGTAAACATTTTCAAAGCCTCTTATATGAAGATATTTATTGTGAATTACTCGTCACTAGTTTCCTGTATGTTTGGGAAGCATTTTGACTTTTGCTGATGACAAAGAGCGGTCGTTTGGCGACGTGATATTATTCACTGCAAGTTTCATTTGTGCTATTTATTATTGAAAAGGCTGTGATTGAATTGATAAATACACATTGAAGTAGCCAGAATGATAATTGTTTATCTTTCCTAGATATATTTCTTAGTCGATGGCCTGATATATTTAAAGAAAGCCTACTTGAACAGGACAGTATTTT